TGTCCCAACTAAAGCCATTAAAGGACAATCACTAGCAGACTTCCTTGCCGATCATCCAATCCCAATCAAATCTCAGATGACTTGCATGACAATGAGGTGTTCTACATCGACATCTTCCTAACATGGATAATGTTCTTCAACGAATCAACATGAACGGATGGAGTGGGGGCATGAGTAGTATTCGTGTCACCAAAAAGATAAGTACTACCCTATTCCTTCCGACTAAGCAAGCTATACTCCAACAATGTCGCTGAGTAGCAAGCGCTGATCATTGGACTCCATATGGCAATCGACATGGAAATCACAACATTATAAGTGTATGGCGACTCCAAACTCATAATCAATCAACTTTTAACTGAGTATAAAGTAAGGAAAGATGATCTCGTCTCATACTTTCAGCTAGCAACTCAACTGCTACAAAAGTTAGAGGCCGTGACGCTAGAACATGTGCCAAGAAAAGAAAATCAAATGGCGGACGTTCTCGCTAACCTAGCCTCAAGTATGGCGCTAGAAGAAGATGAAGCTGCAGATGTGATAGTATGCCAAAGATGGGTGATCCCGCTCGTCACTAAAATACTACTGGATGATACAAACGCTATCTCAGTACTTCCAGTTGACACTTAAGAGTGAAAACTGCCATTGATCGACTACTTAGAGCATAGAAAGCTTCCAAACGATCCTAGACACCGCTCTGAAATACGTCGACGAGCATCTCGCTTCTTCTACTACAAAGGAACACTTTACCGACGTTTTTTTGAATAAGTACTTCTAAGATGCCTAGGTGAGGAAGAAGCTAATCAAGCCATGGAAGAAGCACACTCAAGCGTATGCAGAGCGCATCAATCTGGACCAAAGCTACATTTCCAGCTCAAAATAATGGGTTACTATTGGCCAAGCATGGTGAAGGATTTCCTGGAGTAAGCCAAAAAGTGTCAAACCTGCCAATTCCATGCCAACTTCATACATCAACCACCTAAACCATTACATTCTACAGTTGTTTCATGGCCATTTGATGCATGGAGATTGGACGTCGTAGGACCAATCACACCAAAGTCATCTGCAAGAGAAGCCTACATAATAGTCGCAACGGATTACTTTTCCAAGTCGACTAAAGCTGTACCCCTAAGGGATGTCAAGAAGGAAACTGTCATCCATTTCATCAAAGAGCATATCATCCATCGATATGGTATGCCTTGCTACATCATCACCGACAACAGAAAACAGTTCTCCAATCGACTTATGAACGAGCTTTGTGAGAAATACAAATTCAAGCAGCACAAGTCTTCCGTGTATCATGCTCCGACGAACGGTCTTACGAAAGGATTCAACAAAACGTTATACAACCTCCTGAAGAACGTGATTGGCCGAACAAAGAGAGACTGGCACGAAAGGATAAACGAAGCACTTTGGGCAAATAGGACAACACATAGGACTCCTACCCAAGTTACGCCTTATTCTCTTGTATATGGCATGGAAGTTATTCTGCCGCTCGAAAGTCAAATCCCCTTACTAAGGATGGCTATACAAGAAGGCTTGATTGAAGAGAAAAACGCACAACTATGACTTCAAGAGTTGGAAGCTCAACAACACTTAGAATGCTACCAAGCACGGCTATCCAAGGCATTCAACAAGAAGGTATGCCCAAGGTCGTTCCAAACTGGAGATCTTGTCTTGGCATTACGAATGCTTATCATCACAATTCACAAGATAAAAAGCAAGTTCACATCAAAGTGGGATAGACCTTACGTAATACAAGAGGTCTACACCAATAACACCTACTTAATCATGGCAAAAAACGGCTTAAAGATCGGCCCTATCGATGGCAGATTCTTGAAGCATTACTACCCTTAAACCAAACAAGCAATACTCCTCGCCTGTATGAGACTAAAATGCACATGGCACAAAGCTCCTTGCCTACATGAGCCCAAATTGCACGGCACAATGCTCTTTGTTTGCACGAGCTTAAAAGGCCACAGTTAATGCTCATTGTTCACACAAGCTTAAAAGGCAGCACTCAACCCTCTTAACCCGCAAGAGCATAAACTGTGTACTGAAAAATAATCATCAAAACCAACAAAACCATAAAAAAAAAAAACAATCCATTATTTCCTTTGAACTACGTCATGACTTAATGCCTCCTCAACCGAGGGTATGTAGGCAACTTGAAACTTCAAAACTTCAAGTACAATCACATCACCAATAAAAAAAAAATGCATAAACTTTGAAGAATAAGGAGAAAATTCAAAATGTGAATACTTTATTTCTTTAAAAGAAAAAGTCGGCTCCAAGGCCTTATTACAAAAAAATAAAAAATAAATAAATAAAAGGCTTAAAGTACAAAGAATGGAAAACACTACTTGAAATCTATGTCCCTAAAACTACGACGACGATCTTCAAGCAAGTCTTCCAAAGTCTTCAAAGTCTCCACATTGATGGGAAACAAGATGGGAAACTCCATAGACATGTCTTTCTCTTGCTCTAGGCATGAATTCTCCTTTTGATGCTGAGAAACTGTAGCTTCTTGCTCCTGAAAAACTATAGCTTCTTGCTTCGAGAGAACACCCTGAAGTCGTGATGCCTCGACTTCCAACTGTTCTAGTTCTCGCGCCAACGCTAGACACACTGATAGGAGCATATTTATGCGCCTTAGTTAGCTAGTTCTTATGCATTTTTGTTATGTTTTCTTCGTTAAAGTAGTCTTTTAAGCTACTTTCATGTGTTTTCAGGTTTAAAGGACATATTACATGAAATGATGCAATTTGGAGCTTTTGGAGCAAAACTGAGCTGGAATGTGGTGTATGCAAATGGAGCACGAGGAATGGACGTCCAAAACTAAACCCTAAGCCGTGGCCCCCCATTTGATTATACACCCTAATTCCTCCTTATTAACCCTAACACTAATCAACCACCATCCCATTTTTAATTCCACACCATCCCATTATCCTTTACATCCACTAATCCGTGCACTCCAATCTTTCCCATTTTTCCTCCCTAAAACCGTGCAAATTCATTAAGCCATATTGGCTCATTAATTCCACCATTCCATTTCAAGCCGTGGCCCCCCCATTTCCCATTTATTCCATTTTCTTTTTAATCAGCCACCTTACTTCCCATTATTCATTCACCATAAACCGTGGCCCTAGGTGTGATTGTTCCATTAAACCTAATTCCTCCATATTCTAATCAGCCACCATAGCATCATACAATCCCATTATTCCACCCTATTGCCGCAGCCACTAATCCCCCATCAATCCGTGCACTACCATCACATCCATAATTAATCAGCCACCATCCATAATTAATCAACCTAATATGCCATTATTCCTTCCACCATACCTTAAACAAACATCCATTAACACCCATTCTCTTCCTATAAATACCCATTCATTCCATTCACCAAATCATCTCATTTTCCATTGTAATACACAAACACTTCCCCTTCTCCATTTCCTCCATTTTCACTCCATTCCACACTTCCATCCCATCAACCAACCTATCCTTAAACCTTGTGCTACAACAACGAGGAAGAGAAGAGTGCCTAAACGTTCATACAATTCAAGTTTTGAGTTGTTGGAATGTTTAGGTGTTTCTTTGATTTCAAAGTTTCATTTTAATTCTCTTTGTTTTGTACGTATAAGGAATGGAAGAGAAGAGTGCTTAAACGTTCATACAATTCAAGTTTTGAGTTGTTGGAATGTTTAGGTGTTTCTTTGATTTCAAAGTTATGAGGAACTAAACCCCCTTTAGCTAGGGGGTGATTCGAAACTATGTTTATATTTGCAATATGAATTGATTAACTTTCGTTGGAATTTCATAAGTTTTGGATTCAATTTGTTTAACCGTTTGAGTGATAACTTATTTATGAATGTTTATTAAGAATGCGCGCTTAATTTTCATGCATAAATATGACGCTAGAATATAAGTGAATTTCACCTAATCGTTATGAACTTATATTCACAAGTAGTGGAGGTTGCTTATAAACAATCGCGTTAAATGAATTCTTGGCACGAGTTTCATGCTCATCTTAGTAACGAATGCCTCGTCAACACTTATAGTTTTCATAATGCTTAATGATCTTTGATTGTATCTTTATTGTGCTGTTCACGTAAAGGACTTTTGGGTAGCGTTTGGTACGCAGACGGGACGGGACGGGACGGGACGGGACGGGACGGGACGGGACGGGACGGAACAGATGTTATGTGTTATGTTTGGTACGCGCAGGACGGAACAAGATGGTTGTTCCGTCCTGTGTTTGGTAGCACATGGACGGAACGGAACCAAAAGATTAAAATGACTAAAATACCCATGTTCCGTCACTTGTTTGGTACAATTTTATGGGCGGAACGGGACAGAACTTTTTTTTTTTTTTTTTTTAAATAAGTTGTTCAAATTTGAACACTATTATCCATTATTTGTTTTTCTTGGTCCAAATTTTAATAGGTATATGTTGTGTTTCACATGCAAACCCCTTTAAAATTTGTAATTTTTCCCGTTTTCTACACCTTCATTCGAATTTTCACCACAAACCCATCAAATTTTATTGTGCAAATTGCAAAACCCACACCCCAATTCAATTTTTAGTCCCTAATTTTGGTCCTTTCAATTGTGGGTTGTTGTTCAGGGTTAGGTTCTAGAGACATTAGAATTGGCCTTGTTTAGAAGGACACCCCTCTAAATATTCCTCATTGTAGGAACAAGGCATACCACATAAGAGCACATGACAAATGTTGAAAAATATATAAGTTTAATGATAATGCATATCGTAAACATTTTAGGGTTTAAACATTTAGAACTTAAACAAAGAAAATGAAATATGCATAACTTAAACATGAAATATCCGAAATCAAACATTCGTCCTGACTTAAAAAACAAATAATGTCTTGCTAAAGTAATAATGAAAACACTTAGTAATAAACATAGATATAATGACAATGACTAAATTTATATTAGTTGTACTAATCAATTACCAAATCAAATAAGCCAAATCAAATGACAATGACTACACCCTAATTTTAAAATTTATTAAAATTTAGTAACACAAATAAACATATCAAATAAGCCATAATATCTAGATAACTCCCAATTACCATATTACAATAACCAACATCTCAATAGTCTTGATGTTACGAATTTTCAAGCCAATTACAACAACTACATTGAGTCCACATCTAAAAGACAATTACAACAACTACCATGTTAACCAATTTTCAAGCCCTCCTTCCTCTCCACTCATCATATATTTCTCTTGCAAGATCATCCCTCCATTGAGTCCATATTTGGCCAAAAATCTGAAAGGGACGGTTTTCCGAATCTGGAAAACAAAATGCATCAGATGGATTAGTCCATTGACATTTAGAATGAACCATTGTTCTTTACCACTGCACTCACACAGTTTATATCCAAACTGCAAAACTATAAAAAACCACAGTTTATATCACCAAGAACTGCACTCAAGAAACACCAAATTGCAGATTGATATGTATTTAAGTAATCACCTATTCAAGTCCATCCTTTCTTGGATACTAGCCTCTTTGCACATTGTATTTAATACCAAGCATTCACTTAGAAATTCATTAAAACAAGGGTTCATTGAAGCCTTTGTCTGATGACAAAAGATTTGGTCACGTGATCAAACCAAAATGACTCATCATAAGGATCGTAAACAATAAAAAACAATAGTCAATTGCATAATATGAAGACCCATGTTTTTTTTTTTTTGGTTTTGGGTTGGTGGGGGGGGGGGGAATTTACCTCATGCAGAGTTCCATCTCCTCCCACCACAATTACAGCATCAGCTCCTTCCCGTATAGCCTGCATACCATAAGAAACCATTTTAAACCAATCTTCCCTAAGGAAACTAGATTTATGTCAAGTTCAAATAATAAGAGTACAAAATCCCACCTCTCTCGTTATGTCAATCGCATGAGAAGGACCTGATGTCAAAGATTCACATATCTGCCGATAAGAAGAGAAAGTAAAATTAGACAAGTTCAACATGTGTGTTTCAATGGGGAAACAAAACAGATACAACACGGACTTCAAATAAATAATTGGAAAAGAGTGATCTGTTCAATTGCATACACAAGCGTGGGGAAGACAGACAGATTTACACAAGCGTGGTGAATAGTAATTGGTGAAGTGATTGGTTAAAACTTGTGGTGTACAGCAAGACCCAAAAATTGAAACAAAAAGCGAAGAAATTCCAAACCGCAGAGCACTTGGGACAAACACTGAAAACGATTCCCAGGTATAACAGTGAAAACAATAACATAGTAAACTGCTTTACAAAAGAGCATGAATTTCATGGATATACATATGATCTAAGATTTCAACCAAAAAAAACATATGATCTAAGATAACATAGGATTTCCAATTGTCTTGCCAAGCAAGATTAATTAATCCAAAAGATTAATACAAGCAACGCAAGTACAACCAAAATTAACATAAATTAGTGGGTTTCAATCTCCAACCTCTAACGAATTGTGAAACCAAAATTGGATAATTGGGTAAAAAACCAAAGAGAGGAAAATTGGGTAAGAAACTCACATTGCAATCAGCGCCAAGGCGAGACCTTAGATACGGAAGCAGCTTCTTCCACTCGGTCCCTGTCCTCCCATTCGCACCTGCTCCAATTTCCCATTTCAATAACCCACAATAATCATAAAAACACACCCACAAAACTTATAAAAACACAGAAACAGAGAGAGAGAGAGAAAGAGAGAGAGAGACCGCTGGGATTGACGACGAAAACGAGGTCGCGGCGGCGAGAGGAGGAAGACCCATTTCGCAGAATGGAGCGGTCAGCGCACAGATCAGGAGCTTTGGGGAGCTCGGCTCTCACAGCCCATGATGTCGCCATTGAAAAGAAGATATGAATGAAAACATTTTAGGCGCACCAGATCGAACCTGGAACCGAGATGCAGAGCTGAAGATGCTACGGAAGAGGATGAGGAGGAAGGTTCGCAGAGCTGCTACACGGAAGATGCAGAGGTGAAGAGGCTACAGGGAAGAAGATGAGGAGGAAAGGGAAGATGCAAAGGGAGGAACACGACGGCTGAGAAGAAGAGGGATAGTTTTTAGGGTTTGTCATATGATTTTTGATGTAAATTTTGAAAAAGACAAGGGGCATTTTTGTCTTAAAATTTTGGAAATTTCTGTCCCACAGGCGTGGAACAACCCGTTCCAGGGTGGGGGTGTGGAACAGAAAATCATCCAAAATCTGTTCCATGGAACAGCCCGTTCCACTCATTTTAGGCGCACCAAACGCGGGACGGAACGCCTCGTCCCACTCTGTTCCGTCCCGTCCCGCGTACCAAACGCAACCTTGGAGAATGTTATGAATTGCGTTGCGCAAACCCATCCAATTCATTAAACTTAAGGAAAACTTGACGGTTAATTTAAGCGGACCTATTTAATCCGGAGTGTTGAGTTTCATAATTTATCGAAAGACCAACTGAGAATCAATCTTGTATGCAAGTATAACATGTGTGAAGAAGAACCCCTTAGCTAGCCTTCATCCCATTCATTCCATCACAAATTCATATTTACATTCCGCTTAGTTTATTAACTTGTTTTGTTATTTCAATTTTCGTCAAATCAAAACTTTCCCCCCCCCTTTACTTTCTTGTTCTTTAGTGCTTAGAATCTGTTTAGTTTATGTTTTAAAGTATTTTGAATCAAGCCATAATCTTAAATTCGTCCAAAATTAGTTTTGAGTCTTTTGGTTTGTCTTAATGTTTTAAATTTTAGTTTTGCATTCTTTGAGTCTAGTTTAGTGTTTTATATTGTTTTTACGTTCTTAAGTCAATTTAGAAGGTTTTAGCAAGCCCTCCTAATCCCCGGTCTAGAACGATCCCTCACTTATCCATTCTACTACAATTGTCAAACGAGGGTTTAATTTGAGTGTCAAGTAATTATCGCATCACACACCTATACAAAAGCCAAAGAAGTCCCTGTGGCTTGATAACCTTCCAAAGCGGCTTGGTGCGAAGATCGAACTTGGGCAATTGAGAAGTCTATTGCAGCAAGTTGCTAAACTCTAACCTCTGGATTCAACTTCTTCGAGAAAACATCATACAAAGAATAATACTTAGTTAAGGTAGCCATAAGCTCGGCAATCTTGACTCTTAAGAGTGAGGAATCAACGTTAAGGTTGTCAATCACAGAAACAAGCTTCGACAAGTTTTCCTTAAGCAACGCAAGGTACTCCACTGGGCACTTTGAAATCCTCTTCTCAATATGGCTCTTGATATCCATGGACGCGTGAAGGTTGATGCAATGGATAAGCTACTCAGTGCCATTAAGGTTCAGCCCTCTAAGAGAGATCTTGGAGCTAGCTGGCAAGGGTGTTGGAGGCATGACGGGCTCTTGCATACCTTCACCTACACACAGCAAACTTGGGCAACTTGGCGGGTTTGTAATAAGCTCTGCACCGGGAAAGTTTCCAATCTCCTAGTCCATGAGTAGACTGCTACCAAGTAGCCCATGTTCACCAAATCAAAAGAACAAGAGAGCCCAGTCTAAAGAAGACAAAGAAAGATGCTAGAAACAAAAGCTAAACTAATGAAAGCAGAATAAATCACAAGAAAGAAGGAAATACAAACATCTTTCTCAAGTGACACATGACCATCAAATTGAAGAGGCCTAAACACTTTCTTCTTCTTATGATGAAAAATGACATCACTATCATCCTGAGCACCCTTAAGTAGTCGTTTGTTTAAAACTTGTTTACACTACCGCAAAACAAGCTCATCTTCATGCGAGTCAACTTTGTCACCTGCCTCTTTAGAAGCATCTGAATGCTAAGAAGACAAACACGAGCATTGAAAAGCTAAAGCCATTGGTCCATCTTGCAAATGAGTTAGGCTCGCACAATCAAAAGGTGCAAGCTGCGTAGAAACCGCAAAACAACCCTTTCTCGGCGCATCATTGCGTGAATGAGAAGAATTGATGCCACTTGTCATCCTCAAGTCTTCATGGTGTACCTTTGACCACCAACCTACGTAGGTACAAGTCATTAGATTATTCTTGAACTCATCCTTGGCTGGCAAGGTGATAGAAGCATTTGTGCATACACGGGTACAAGACTCTCAATGCATATACACGGCTTGCAAGGATTCCGACTATGCGTTTTCCTTTAACTTGCCTGCCACATGTTGGACAAAGCCAAACTACCTGCTGAAATGGTGAGGATTATATGGCTAAACAATACATCGGTCTCCCTGCCGAAAAAAAACATACCCCGAGCGAAGACTTGTAAGATAAGACAAGTCTGAGAAACGAATGTGCGAATAATTTATGAGGCCTCACTTCACCGAGCCAACCCTTGCTAGATGGTCCATTCTGAAACCTTCACAGCTTCTAAACAATGCATGTGCCTGCAAATCATCAAGGCTCTTTGCAAAAAGCACGCCAGAGTACTTCGTCAACAAAGGCCCCAGCTTGGCTAAAGTTGATGAAGAAAACCCCAACTTGTCTAAAGTCGACGAAGAAAAATGAATGCCAAAGTACTCACCCAACCAACCGTACACATAGTGGTTGAGAAGTACCATAACACGATCTTCGATGCTTGCCGAGTTCGAAACGACACTCAAGCCATCATAAATATTGGCTAAAACTGGAATAATAAGGCTGAAAGATTCACTTGCAACCATCTTGCTAGTCACTTTGAAGACTCCGGGGTGGATAAAGTTGACATCGCCTTTGGGGAAAACAAAATTACAAAGCCAACAAGTTAAGAAAACGGCTAGGTAAGATTCTTCCACGTGCTGTGATGCTACGCCAAGATCCTCAAATGCTTTTAACTCGGTAGATGCACAGCGCCTAGCTGAACTAATAGCACCTAACAGGTCTGAGTCTCATTTTGGCTTAACAGTCATGTTGCAGCCACTTTTCTTCGAAGGCTTCTTGTACTTCATGGCATCCCAATACCAAAATAAAATCCATGAAGAAATTTTCACGCCTAACTTACCCTAAACCTCTTGGGAAAGCTTGTGATATGCCTAAAACAAATAGCGGCAACTCGTAGGCAATCCTCGGCTATTACGATGAGAAAATTCTTCCACACTAGGAACAATCTCGTCGTAAAACTTACCCTAGATTGGCAAGCCTCCTATCTTATGGAAATCCCAAAATGAAATCGACATCTCCCCTTGTGACGTGTGAAGTGTGTTGGTCGCTGAACACCAATGCTCAAAGAACGTAGGAATGACGATCATAACAAAATAAAGATGCATATACGGCTTGATAAAGGCCCATGTTAGAAAGCACGTCTTTGGATCGGCTCAAGACATCTTCAAGCCACTACCAGTAAAACTCAACAAAGACGGCCTTTCCAGTAATAGACAAGATGCCATTCCAAGTTGTAGCTCTGCTACGGATGTGATCACCCAGAAACTCAAATAAAGCTAGTGAATTGTCACGAACATGGTGCGAAGGATTCAAGATAAGAATCCTCGACGTACACGCCTTCTTCTTCGTATTTGATTGACCAAAATCTGTCACCTCCCAAGATACTTCAGAAGACCACGACTTGATATGAATGGAGTTGTTTTTTGCAGGAAGAACAAGCATATTAGGGCCAATCAACTGACAACAAAGTTTCAACAGCATTCCCCTATCTTGCGAATCGCCTTCTTTCGCAAGAATAGTGATGTAGCTCTTAAAGCACTTAAAAAATACCATGGTTGCAATGAAAAAAAAAAAAAAAGGAAGAAAAAGAGAACATAAGCACAACGTGGGACGGCAAGAAAAAAAAAAAAGAAAAAAAAAGATTGCTTCACTAAAGCAAAAGACATGCGTGACAAACCTCGTGAATGTTGAAGGATGACAATGACAAAGTCATAACAACGAAAAGAAATCAGCCACAAAGCTTGAGAAGCACAGTAAAGAGGGCAGCTACAAGACAATCATTCAAAACACGCTACAGTAGCAAAGAAAACTCAAATGCTACGCAATCGCACTACGCAACCACGCAGGGATTATGCAAGCAATTTCTTGCATTGCACAGCAACGTCACCACTGAGAGAAAATTATGATCACAAGGCAGTACACAGCGAAACCTCGCTGTAGTCTTTTGCACAGCACCACGCGGTAAAAAGTGACGCACTGCAACAAGTTTCAAACAGAAAAATTCATGGCAACAGCAGCAGCTATAGGGCACGGCACAAACAGCAAGCACAGAAACAGTGCACGTCAAGGGTGTTTTGTGACAAAAACACACACCCAATTGTCCTATAAATAAGGATCAATTGCTTGCTAATACTATAGGGAGAATACATACCAAATAGCAAAGGAAAATAAAAAAATAAAAAAATAAAAAAAGAAGCACATTCTAGCTGCAAGAAGGAAACAAATTCAAAGCTAAAAAGGGCAAGGTAAAATCAGCAGCAAGGAGGGAAACATGCTGCTTTTTGCAACAAAAATCAGCAAAGAAAAGAAAAGAAAACAAAGAAATAAGGAAAGGGCTTCAAAATTTCCAAAACATCAAAGGAAATCCCTCCAAAGCAAGGACAAGTCTTCAAGTTTCCCAAACCAAGGGGGAAAACACTCTCTCTTTGCCGTGGAAAAGAAAAGGGAAAGGAAAAAAATACAAATCCTACTTACCCAAGGACAAGCATTAAAGCTTTCCAACATCTTGAAGGAAATCACCAAAGTTTTCCAAAACCTTGAAGGAAATCACCCTCATTGCCAAAATTGAAGGAGGCTCCTACTTAAGGAAGGAAAAAGCATTTTTCCCACAAGGAGGGAAAAAATCCAAGTCTCAAAATACACCAAATGTACTTTGTCAAAATTATGGAAAATCAATATGCACAATAAGTATGTGCCAATTTATCCATTTCCAAAATTTCTTTCAAGATCAAGCCTCTACGGCCCTTGAAGAAAAGTTTCATTTCTTTCAAGATCAAGCCTTTACAGCCCTTGAATGAAAATTTCATGGCTTTCAAGATCAAGCCTCTACGGCCCTTGAAGAAAATTTTCATTTCTTTCAAGATGAAGCCTCTACGGCCTTTGAAGAAAGTTTTCATTTATTCAAGACCAAGCCTCAACGACCCTTGAAGAA